CTGCACCCCCGGAGCACCGTTGCACTTTCTGGGGTCGGGGGACGGGGTATGGGTTGGGGGAATGGGTAGGAGGATGGGGCCGTCGCGCGCCGTGTTCGCAGGTGGAGCGCGCGCGCGCGCGCGGAGGAGCGGGTCGCCCGCGTGCGCTTCGCGCCGCGGCGGGGCGCGTGCGATGCGCGGCGCGCGAAAGTTGCCAGGGGCCGCGCAGGGCGCGGCGCGGGGAATAGGCTGTCGGTGATTATGCTGATGATGCTGCTGATGCTGGTGCTGATGATGACGATGCTGATGACGATGATGACGAGGATGCTGATGATGATGATGCTGATGCTGATGATGGTGATGGTGATGATGATCTTCTGATCATGCTGATGATGCTGATGCCAATGCTGACGCCAATGCTGATGCTCATGATGACGATGCTGATGGTGCTGATGATGAGGATGTTGATGCTGATGCTGATGCTGATGATGATGATGATGCTGCTAATGATGATGAGGCTGATGCTGCTGATGATGATGAGGATTGTCGTGACGACGATGATGATGGTGATGATGCTGATGCTGATGCTGATTATGAGGATGCTGATGATGATTGTCTGGTCATGATGATGCTGATGATGATGATATTGATGCCAATGCTGATGCTGGTGGTACTGCTGATGATGATGATGCGGCTGCTGATGATGATGACGATGATGATGATGGTGATGCTGATGATGATGATGATCTTCTGATTATGGTTATGACGGTGATGACCTTCTGGTTATGACGATTCTGCGGGCGATGATGCTGGTGCCAATGCTGATGCTGCTGATGATGATGCGGCTGCGGATGATGACTCTGATGACGATGATGATGACGATGATGATGATGATGATGATGGTGATGATGGTGATGGTGATGCTGATGATGATGATGATGAACTTCTGATTATGATGATGCTGGTGATGATGATGCTGATGCCAATGCTGATGTTGATGATGATGACGATGATGCTGATGCTGATGCTGATGCTGCTGGTGATGTTGATGATGCTGCTGCTGATGATGATGCTGATGATGATGATGTTGACGATGATGATGATCATACTGATGATGCTGATGATGATGATGACGGTTATGCTGATGATGATGACCTTCTGATTATGATCATGTTGATGCTCATGATGATGCTGCTGCTGATGCGGATGCTGATGATGATGCTGATGATGATGATGATGATCTGGATGATGATGATGATGATGATGCTGATGGTGATGGTGATGGTGATGCTGATTATGATCTTCTGATTATGATGGTGCTGATGATGATGACGCCGATGCCAATGCTGATGCTGATGATGATGATGTCAATGCTGATGATGACGATGACGTTGATGCTGATGCTGCTGATGTTGCTGATGATTATGAGGATGCTGATGCTGATGATGATGCTGCTGATGCTGATGCTGCGGATGCTGCTGCTGATGATAATAATGCTGATGCCAATGTTGATGATGATGCTGCTGATGATGATGACGATGATGATGATGATGATGATGATGATGATGGTGATGCTGAGGATCTTATGATTATGATGATGCTGATGATGCTGATGCCAATGCTGGTGTTGATGATGCTGATACTGATGATGATGATGAGGATGATGAGGATGTTGATGATGATGCTGATGCTGATGCTGATGATGCTGATGATGCTGATGCTGACACTGATGATGACGACGATGATGATGATGATGATGCTGAACATGATGCTGATGATGATGATGATCGTGATGCTGATGATGATGATCTTATGATTATGCTGATGCTGATGCTGCTGATCATGATGCTGATGTTGCTGCCAATGCTGATGCTGATGATGCTGATCATGATGTTGATGATGACGAGGAGGATGATGATGATGATCGTGATGCTGATGATGATGATCTTTTGATTATGATGACGCTGATGATGATGATGCTGATGCCAATGCTGATGATGATGATGCTGATGCTGGTGCTGATGCTGATGATACTGGTGATGATGCTGATGCTGATGCTGCTGCTGCTGATGATGACGATGCTGTTAATGATGATGACGATGATGATGATGATGATGCTGCTGATTCTGATGTGATGATGATGCGGGTGATGCTGATGATGATGATGATCTTCTTATCATGATGATTCTGATGATGCTGATGCCAATGCTGGTGATGGTGATGATGATGATGATGATTATGCTGATGCTGATGCTGATGATGATGACGATGGTGATGATGGTTATGCTGATGCTGATGCTGATGATGATGATGACGACGATGATGCTGATCATGATGATGATGATGATGATGATGATGATGATGATGATGATGATGATGATGATGATGATGATGATGATGTTGATGTTGATGTTGATGGGGAGGAGGAGGAGGAGGAGGAGGAGGAGGAGGAGGAGGAGGAGGAGGCCTCGAGTGCGGCTCTTCGCCTCCGCAGACCGCGGCCTCCGCGGGAGTAGGGGCGAGCGACGGAAGAAAGCGGAGTCGCCTGTGCGAACTTTCGCGCGGGAGTTCCCCGCGTAAGGTCGCGGCGTAATCCACGCGGTGTGCCACGCTGGCGGCCCGCGTAAGGTCCCTGTGTCATCGTGCGTGGGACTCGGGTGGTCTTCGGGGGCTGTGTCAGTGGCCCTTACATTGGATCTGGGGCGCCGGTCAAATTGTCTTACGACGTGGCATTGTTTCGCAACCTCGGATCTCAGGGTCCACGGAAGTCGAGGTGGCCTTCGGACGGTTCCGCCCCAGACCCCCTCGGTGAGAAAAGCACGGCGGCGGACGGTTTTGGTCGTTTTCGGCCTTTCGGAGTCTTTACCGGGCCCCAGGAGCGTCAAACAACAAAACGACTCAGGTTGAGAAGCTGGTCACTTGGAGCAGGAGGCGGAGGAGGAGGAGGAGGAGGAGGAGAGGGAGGAGGAGGTGGAGGAGGAGGGAGGAGGAGGGCGAAGGGAGGAGGGAGGAGGGAAGAGGGAGGAGGAGGAAGGAGCAGGGAGGAGGTAGGGAGGAGGGAGGAGAAAGAAGGAGGAGGGGAGGGGAGGTGAGGAGAGAAGGAGGAGGAGGAGGAGGCGGAGGGAGGAGGGGTGAGGGGAGGAGGAGAGAGGGAAGAGGGAGGGAGGAGGAGAGAGGGAAGAGGAGGAGGGAGGAGGAGGAGGACGACGACGATGAGGAGAAGGAGGACGAGGAGGGAATGAGGGAAGGAGGACCCGCGCCCGGGCCCCACCTGCACGCGCACCGCGCCGCCACATACCGCCGCGCCTTCCCCCCCTCCCCCATCGGTGCAGGACCCCCTCGAGTTGTGGCAGAAATCGCGAGGGATTTTATTATATATATATATATATATATATATATATATATATATATATATATATTCGGCCTCTGGTGGCCCTCGCTGGGCCTCGGGACCGTTGAACATGGAATCAGGATGAAAAGCTGGTCCCGGGGAATTGGTCATGGCCGTCTCACTATTTCCCTCGGCTCTTCGCCTCCCTCGTCATGGTCATGGCGTTCTTCGCCTCTCGGCTTTCTCTTCCCTCCTCCCTGGCGCTGGCCAGGTGGGAGGGGTTCGAGGGCTTCATCCGTTCGGCAAGATATAGGGAAGGGGGAGGAGGAGGAGGAGGAGGAGGAGGAGGAGGAGGAGGAGGAGGAGGAGGAGGAGGCGGAGGAGGAGGAGGAGGAGGAGGAGGGAGGAGAAGGGGGGAGGAGAAGGGTGGAGGAGGGGAGGAGGGAGGAGGGAGGAGGAGTAGGAGGGGGAGGGGGAGGAGGGAGGAGGAGGAGGAGGAGGGAGGAAGGGGGAGGAGGGAGGAGGGAGGAGGAAGAGGGAGGAGGAGGGAGGAAGGGGGAGTGTGAAGTCCTCCCCTCCCCCTCGGATGGGGGACGACCGAGGAAGGATGACCGCGCAGGTTCTCGAGGATCGGTGTTCGGGAGGTCTTCGGGCGTCTTCGCTGGTGCAGGAGGTTTTCGAGCCCCCCCCCCGCATGCGTTCCAGCAGCCGCGTCTCGACGAGAGCGTTCCAGGGGTGCCCGAATCGGCCCGAACGGCCGCCAGAAGCCCGAGCTATGGCGCGAAAGCTGCTCGCAGGATCGCAGAAGGCACCTGTACACCACCACCGTGCCCGGCCAGGGCCAGCTTGGGTCCTTGGAGTGGAGGTTTTGTGGGCCCCTGCTTGGCCCAGGCCGGGGAGGGCGCGTGCGCCATCCCAGGGCTCAGGATGGCCTTGGCCAGGCACGGTGGTGATACACAGCTGAGCGACGGATGACAACGGGGTCGACTGCGCCGACATTCGCGCGTGGGCTGCCCGCGTTGAGGTCGCTTGGGCGCCCTCCGTTTCAATGCAGCGAGTCCCGCCGACGGCCGCGTAAGCCGCGGCTTGAGGTCGCTGCGTGTGTGTCTTCTCGCGTGAGGTTCGGCTGCTTGCGTCGCCCAGTTGGCACGAGGGTCCGGAGCATCCCTGGCTCTGGAAGGGCGCCCTCGTGCTCTTCGTATTCGGGCCCCCCAACGCCTCGGAGTGTTCCTCGTTCTTCGGGGGTGCCTCCGGGGGCCCTTCGGGGCCTTCGGCGGTGGGGGCCCCCGCTCTCGACCCGCGGCCTTCGGGCCACGTCCCCAGATCCCCCTCGGGCCACGAGCAGGAGTCACGACGGGCGGTCGTTGCTCGCCTTCGGCCCCTCGGGGCCCTGACCGGGCCCCAGGGGCCGCCAGCAGAGCGACCCAGGGGTGAGAAGCTTAGCCGCCCCGATACGCAAACACGCAACACGTAGTCAGCGCATCGATGTGGAGCTCAACACGTCGATTGAACAACACGTCCGTTTTGAGCACGGACGTTTTGAACACGTGTTGCGTTCCAAAACGTGCGCATCAGAGCAGCTAAGGTGAGAAGCCGGCCGTGGGAAGGGGTCCAGACCTCACGTTCTGGGAGAATCACGGCGTCAGTGGCCTGGGCCTCGGCTGCGCGCGGCGCCCCACTGCGCGCCCAGGAGCTCCCGCAGCGCCCGCAGAGGGGGGCGCCCATCGCGGAGGACACGGTGGCGCGCGTCACCGAGCTGCTGCGGACGACCCGGCTGAACCCCCGGGAGTGGGGGCAGCACGCCGTCTTCAGGCGCGGGCGCTACACCAGGAGCGCCGCGGGCAGCGACAAGGGGTTCGGCGTCACCCCAGCACATGGCATGAATTACTATGTGTGCGGCGCCTCGCCAGGGGCGACGCGCGCACCGAGAAATGTTGTAGTGCATGCGTCGTGGCGGGCGCTTTCTGGCCGTACCGCTCGGGAAACGAGGTACTATGAGATCCGTGTGCTACATCTTCGGGGCGGACGCACGCCTCCGAGGAGGACACATAGTACTAGTATGGTCTTGTGCGTGCCAGGGGTGGGGTGGGTGGGAACTGCCGCAAGGGGGGGAGACCACCCCCCCCCGCGCCGCGGCAAGAGACACGACTGGAGATCCGTGGCCACTCTCTGACCTCGGTGGCCCTTCCACCTGGCATCGCTCGGACGTGTGCATTTTTTCCCCGGCGAGGACCATCCAGAATCCAGGACAATCCTGGACCATCGAGCAAAAAAACACGCACGTAACCGAAGAATGCACGGGAAATGGACGTCCGAGCGATGGCGAGTCCACTGCTCCAGGGCCGTCGAGAACGAGTCGGGGTGAACAGCTGGTCCTGTGGAGACGATCCAGACCTCTTGGGGTCCACGCTGCGGGAAAAGTCATGACGTCAGGGGCATGGGAGCATCGACCCCCGAGCGCCCCATCCTCGCCGATCGTGGCCAGGGCCCCCCAGCCCACCTGGGAGCGTGCGGTTCTGCGTCGAGGCCCGGTCGCCGATCTATCGGTGACGTATCGCTGATTCCAGGTCGTTGTGCCCCCCGATGACCTTGAGGTCCGACGTCGCGCAGCAGTTTACGCCTCGTGGGAGAAATCACGGGCAGGGCCCCAGACCCAGTCTTCCTGCGGCGTTTCCCGAGCCGGATCGGTCCGCCAGCGCGCTGGCTCCCGAAACTGCGCGGAACCGCCCGATGGGGGGGGGGGGGGGGGGCACAAGTGCGGCGCCAGGATCTCAGGGCGAGCCAGTCCCCCCCCCTTCCCAGACCCCCGACTTCGTGACTCTGTCAGCAACGTCGACCCCCAGGGGTCTGGACCACCTCCCCTGGAGCGGCTTCTCGTCCCGAGTCGTTCTCTGATGGTCCCAGGGGTGCAGCGAGGACCCCCGGAGGTCGCCACGGGCCAGAGATCTTCCGTAGGTGATCTTCTGGTACAGCGCCGGTTTTAATACATGCCCCGCGTGCGGATCATGTATAAAAAACCATGTATTCAAAATCCTATGTTTCAAAAAGTCCTAAGTATTACAACCTGCCCTGTAGCCCGAGGGGGTCTGGGTGTGGGGCCTCCTGCAGGAACATCGTGGGCTACTCCCCGAATCAGTTCATCGCCCTCGTGCTGTGCTGGGAGAGGTCCGCGGACGACCCGCGTGCACCGTGCCGCGCGGGCGTCTCCCGAGGCAGCTTGTCGGCCCTCGGCCCACAGCTGGCACGGCGCACAGCTGTTCGGACCTTTGAGGGCCCAACAGCTGTGCAACGTGCAGCCTTGGGGCAGAGCTGTCATGATTTTTTCATTGCGTCGACCCCTGCAGGTCTCGACCCATTCCCCTGGACCGATTTCTCGCCCTTGATCGTTTTTTGACGGTCCCGAGGCCCGGTAAGGACCTCCAGAGGGCGAAAATAGCGAAAAACCTCCCGTCGTGATTTTTTCACGACGCGAGGAGGTCTGGGGACTGCACACGGGCCCAGAGCTCTGAAGGGAGTCCAAACATGCACGGCACGGTGCAGGGGCGCCGTTCTCGTGAAAAAGGGGGCAGCAGAGCGCCATCCACGACCACGCCGGGGCGCACTGCTTCGTGAAGATGCTGTCGGGGCGGCTCCGCGAGGAGCGCTTCGCCTGGGGCGGCGGCAGCTCCGAGGGCGTGGGGTCCGAGGTCAGAGGCCGGGGACCAAGACATCCAACGGATTGAAGTTCTTCGCGCTTCGCGTAGTCCCACCAGAGTTCGTTGCTAATTTGACAGGCCCGTGGCCGCCCGTGGCCCGGACCTCTCAGCTCGGCGACTGCGACTGCGAATGCGCGTCCGCCCGCGACCAAAAGAAAGTAGCCCCACCAGCCCGCTTTGACTGGACTCGCCGCTGGCGCGCTCGCCTGCGGCCGCTGACTAAAAAAGTAGCCACAACAGCTTGCTGCTCGTTAGCCGCGTTTCTTGACGGCGCCTGGCTTTCCAGCGCGCTCGCGAACAAAAAAGTAGCCCCACCAGCCCCTTGACGCCGCCCGACCTTATCGCCGCGGTCGCGATCAAAAAGTAGCCCCACCAGCACATTCAGGAACCCTGCGCCCTGAGAGCTAACAGGAAAAGGGACACAGATAGTGAAACAAAGCGGGCAGCCAGGATGACCAGAGAGATCTCTGGAAGCAAGGGGGATGGCTTTAAAGGACCTCTTCGGGCCATCCCTGGGGCCCGCGGCGGGTGGCGAGGAGAGGAGGAGGAGGAGGAGGAGGAGGAGGATGCGGAGGCGGAGGCGGAGGCGGAGGAGGAGGAGGAGGAGGAGGAGGAGGAGGAGGAGGAGGAGGAGGAGGAGGAGGAGGAGGAGGAGGAGGAGGCAAACCGCCTCTTGGGGGGCCCTCTTGGGGCTCCCTTGGGGCTCTCTGGGAGCCCTGGAGGGCCTCTTGGGGGTATCTTGGGGGCCATGGACCACAAGAAGGAGGTCCCTCATCCAGCCCCCCCCCCCCCGAGAGCCCTCGAAGTCGCATCCCGTAGCCCTTTTGGCCCAAGCCCTCTTGGCTCACGCGCTCGCGGCCCCCCCCTCCCGACGACCAGCAGGGACGCGCCGCTCGACCGACGATGGCGGCGCGCTCCAGGGCCCTCCTGCCCGCCGTGGCCCTGCTGGCCGGCGCGTGCCTCTTCGGCGCGCGCCTGGCGTTCCTGCCCGCAGCCGGGGCGGCGCCGCGGCAGCACGAGGCGCTGCTGCGCGCCGGCGCCGCGGCCGCGGCGGCGGCCGCGCCGGCGCTGGCGATCGCGGAGCCCGACGAGCTCGTCGACTACAACTTCGCGGGCGAGTTCACGCCGTTCCTGATCATCGGGTACTTCACGCTCACCACCGCCCTCACGGGTTTCTCCTTCGTCTCCTACCTGGTGTTGACGAAGCTGAAGATCATCTGAGCGCCCCGGTGGGCTTGAGACCTGGGCTTAGCCCTTGTCTGCTGCACAGCCCTGGCGAAGCTGCTGATCGTATGAGTGCCTCGGTGGACTTGAGACCGCCAGCATTTTTACAGACTGGTGAGAAAACAATTATCCCGGCAAAGCAACCTAACAGCGATGTGGTAGGAGCATATCTGGAAGCATTCCCCTTAAGATTCAGATGAGAATCCAGTTGTAGAATTCTGCTGTTCTCGCAGTCGCAGTCGCATTCGCGATGACAGTCGCAGTGGCAACGGCAGTCGCAGTCACAGCCTCAGCCTGCCTCAGCATCAGCCTGCCTCAGCCTCAGCCTCAGCCTGCCTCAGCCTCAGCCTCAGCCTGCTTCAGCCTCAGCCTCAGTCTGCCTTCAGCCTCGGCCTCAGCCTCAGCCTGCCTCAGCCTCAGCCTGCATCAGCCTCAGCCTCAGCCTCAGCCTGCCTCAGCATCAGCCTGCCTCAGCCTCAGCCTCAGCCTGCCTCAGCCTCAGCCTCAGCCTGCTTCAGCCTCAGCCTCAGTCTTCCTTCAGCCTCGGCCTCAGCCTCAGCCTGCCTCAGCCTGAGCCTGCCTCAGCCTCAGCCTCAGCCTGCCTCAGCCCCAGCCTCAGCCTGCTTCAGCCTCAGCCTCAGTCTGCCTTCAGCCTCGGCCTCAGCCTCAGCCTGCCTCAGCCTCAGCCTGCATCAGCCTCAGCCTCAGCCCAGCCTTTTGGGGGCCTCAGCATCAGCCTGCCTCAGCCTCAGCCTCAGCCTGCCTCAGCCTCAGCCTCAGCCTGCTTCAGCCTCAGCCTCAGTCTGCCTTCAGCCTCGGCATCAGCCTCAGCCTGCTCAGCCTCAGCCTGCCTCCGCCTCAGCCTCAGCC